GGGGGGGGGTCATGATCCCCATGTTGCCATTTGCTACAGGGTAGCAAATGGCAACATGCAAAATTTCGCAAAGTTCGACAGTGACATAAACACGACGTTTTTTGGCTGGTCGACAATAAACCAAAAAGCTCGGCACGCTTTTTGAATTGTTCCGCAATTTGAAGCTCGTTCGTTTACAGGGTGGCCGCAAAAATCAACTTTTGGGTACTTTTCCAAGCACTTCGTTCATTCATGCAGTCCGATATACATCCACCCTGGGCGTATCACTCCAAACTAACACGTTGACTTTTTGGAGACCACCCAGTAAATAAACGAGGTGCGCGAAAAGTTGAAAWTTTTTCATTCAAATACAAGCATTTTTTGATCAGCTGGCAGCATGTGGAATTTGACCGATTTTGCTTTGCTTAGTGTTCCGCCCTGTAGAAGCCCCATTTAGAGCGCCAATGCTTTGTACAAACTGGCCCTAATTGAAAAAAAAATGCACTAAATATCGCTTCAAACCGAAACCAAATCGCTCTAAACGATCAAAATGTATGCACTTTCAAAACAGTTGATTTGACTGCAGCAAAAGAACACTGATGGTTAAAGTCCCTAATTAAACCCCCTGTTTTCCCTTAACAATTGGCCCAAACTCTCCAATTAGTTGGAGTTTCCTTTGCCCCCAATATCTCGCAAGTTTTCGTGTGCAAAAAAACAACAAAAGATATAATGTCTTTATGGGGATGGGTCCCATCGATTCGGTTTGGGAGAATGCGCAGTTATTTTCTCCTCAGCCGCCGCTGGATCCCGATCTCCTCTATATCGCGGGAAATAAGTTGGGAGAGTGCATGAGTTTTGTGCCGCAAATAGTCCGATTTTCGGAAAAGTTCTTACGGGCAAATTGTCGGCGCGGTCGATGGACATTCGCACGGATTTTCGCGTTTTCTGTGGCCTTTTCCCCGCCATCGCACGCTTACTGAGGAGAATCTCCAGGACGTTTCCGAAAAGGTATTCGAATGTTTGGAGTGTAGACTAGAATGGGGGGCGATTGTGGAACAGTTGCTTGTTCAAAGGAGACGGGGGTTTCCCCAAAACTTCCCCATTAGGGCCAACTAGTAGCAGTAGTTGTAGCCTAGGAGTTCTTAGTAGGGTGGCCAAGGTTGAAGTTAGCGCTTCTTCTATGGAGATCTGGACTCAAAAGTCGCTCAAATTCACCGGCAATTTTGGGGCTGGTGACTTAGTCCTCTCCAAATTATTGCCCATTTAGGATTCAACTCATAGAGCCAACGCCCCCTTTCCCTGAGTGCCAGAGCGCTTTAAACTCTCTTGCCTTCTCCAGTTTTTACCATAAATTTACAAACGAATGGATGTTTTAAGTCAAGCGGTGCATGATGAGAAATGTGTTCTTGAGGTTCTTGGATCGTCAATCGCTGGCCATCCGTTAGAGTTTTACGTGAGTATAGGATTTTCCACCTGGCCCGCGTTAATTAGGCTGATAAAACCATTAAAACGAGCATCAATCAATTAACGAGGCTCCGTAGGAGCACCTAATAGGGGATATTCATTAGCATGTAGGCGATTTATTAAGGCAAACGGGGGTTTGTGCATCACGCCGACATAAATCGGCATTAACTCCTGGTGGAGGACGCAATTTCCAAGTGTGATGAATCACTCCCAGCCTTTGCTCTTATTTAATGCGAAAAACCGGTGAAGTTTCAACAGTGAGACCTCCTCAGACAGTTTTCGATAGGATTCCATTTTCTCCATCATTTTCCCGGATATGAAGGCATTAAAGTGTTCAGAACGCACCGTTTTATATCAGCAATTTCCTGGCTTTTTTTAGCGTTTTGGGGCCGAGATGAACAGTTTCATTCTCAGTGGGCATTTAAATACTTCAGGTCAAATTCACCTGGAACGACGAAGAAGTGCAACGTGAGCCGATTGGTTTGAAGCGCAGACCTTAGATTTGTCCAATTGTGCAAAAGTGCAATTTTGAGGAAAATGGGATGAAGTTGAAATCACTGCAGGGCAAAACTGTTGACAAAAATGGATAATAAAAAAATGAAAAGTGTGATTCGACACAAAGTTCGTGAAGATCTGGATTATTAACCGGTTCGCTTCACTTGCAGTGTAGGAATTTCGGGATTTAATAGACCACCATTGCACAGGTTTATTATACAGTCGGATCGGCTGTGGTTGAATTAATAAGCCATTAAACTGATCACAGTCAGCCGCTCCATTATAATGGAAATTCAGACCTGCCATTGCAAACTGATTGGAAGCGATATGGGGATGGAAATTATGTTTTCCTTCCTGGGCTTCAGTCAAAGTGTGAAACAAAAATTTGTATATCGTTTATTTCATTACGATTCTCATTAAGAGTCCTCGACATTTCATTCGAATCGCTCAACAGATTATTTATTGCCTGTTTCGTGCACTTTGCTCCGAAAATTCGTGTTTTCACGCAACTTTAAGCTCTCGAATAAAAATTCGTAACTTCTAATTTTGAGCAAGGTGCAACTTCAAAGTCTTCTGGAATATAGAAGGCTGTTCAAGTTACAACTTCTCGATATTTCATCGAAATCGCATTAGAGGATGTTTTTTGCGTTCTTCGGGAATTTTGGGCCGAAAATGAACGATTTGTCACAATTGCACGCTCTGCAATAAAAATTCGTAACTTTCAATTTAGAGCGAATTGCAACTTTAAATTTTTCTGGAATATAGAGGAAGGTTCCCGTTAAAAGGTCTCGACATTTCATTCGAATCGCTGAAGAGATTATTTATTGCG